ATCTGAGAAGTGATAAAAACACGGATATCCTGTTATCATATACACTAATCAACAATATGAAAATTCTCAGAAATGCCACCACAGATAAGAACTGAGGAATATTCTTGAGATTTTGTGAGTTCAGTTCTTTAGAGCTTTTTAAACATAGGGTTAAGGTGGTAGGCACACTGCAGTGTGTTGAGGGCTGAGAGGAGGGGTGCAAATAGAGTGTAGATTTTTATGTTAACTTATACTATCACATCCACTAATATTATATGGATTCTCTGTCCTATCTATAGTTTTAGACTGCAGTGGTTAATTGGAAGTAGACCACTATGCATAATTTTATTTAGGATTTTCTTTGAATTTCTAAGTAAACTAGATTCTGAAACATTTGAGTTTTCTGTTTTCAAGGCATATTAAAGAGTTTTGAGTGCACATTTTAATGGATATAGTCTCATTAATTTATTTTTGCAAAAATTAAAATAATTTAATTCACTGTGAATAAATGTTATCTGCTTCAAATAAGCAAAAGAAGAATGTTTCAGTTACTAGTCCAGTTTTCTTAAAAAACAGCTTCATTGAGATTAGTAATATACAATAAACTGCTCATAGTTAAAGTGTATCTTGATAAGCTATAATATCCATATACACATATGAAATCATCACCATCATGAACACATCCCTCACTCCTAAAAGTTTCCTATTGCTGTGTTGTAAATCCCTCCCATCTTGTCTCCAGGGAACCACTGATCTGCTTTCTGACATTATAGATTAGTTTGCATTTCTGGAATTTTATGTAAATCACATCAATCATACAGTATATAATTATAAAAAAATTTTAAACTCAGTGTAACGTTAACTATTTTTTGAGATTCACCTATGTTGTTGCTAGTATCTGTGGCTTATTCTTCATTGTTAATGAATGGCATTTTGTTGTATGGATATATCTTCCTTTATCTGTTTGCCTATTGACAGACATTTGGGTTATTCCCAGTGTTTACTCACTGGAAATTGAACAGTTATGAACATTTGTGTGTGAGTCCTTGTGTGGACATATACCTGCTCTTAAATTGTAAAACTTTCATATGAGATTCCTTAAGTCCTGAAAATATAGAGGTACAATTAAGTGCCCCTCCATAGTTATTTGAGGAAATTCCTCCAGTATTGTGTTACAAGGTTATTACATGTATGGTAGCACAATCTAAGTGGTTTTAGTTTCTCTTTTTCTCCTCCCTCTGCCATCTGTAAATATGGTTTCTTACATCTATTATAAAGCCTGATTAAGAAGCAGCAACTTATTACTGATTCTTCTGAGTTGTATTCCGTTCATTGACGACTTTGTCAGAGTCTGGATCTCCTTGATGAAGTGTCCTTGTTTGGTTGATCTGTAACCTTGTTGCCTAGCCCTGACTTCTGTGCCTTCTACCCCTAGAGACCAATGTATAACCAGTTGCTTGCTTAGGTCTCCCGTGCCTGTTGACTGTAGCATAGCCTGTTGACTGTAGCATAAACTGTAACTTTCTCTTCACCATACTGACTTTTATGTGCCTAGTCAGGTTTTTATTGTCTAAAAACTGCCCCCAAAGTATACCTTCCTTTTTATTGCAAACTCCTGGACTCATATGATTAGGAGTCTTCCATCCATGCCATTTGAGCCAATCTACTTCCTGGTATTTGGCTTCATCTGCGCCTTTAGTATTAGGGACTGACTGCTCTTGGCTCATGAAGGTCTATAAAGCACAGTGGCCTTTGCTTTGTGAGGCTTGGTTCTGAAGAACTGCCCATAAATCCATTTGTTCCTACAGGTAAATGACACCAGGCTTGCTACTGCTCCTGCTCTCTACTGGTGACAGGCAAAGTTGGACACAGTGTAAACTCAGTGTTTTAGTCAGCTTTTTCACTGCTGTGACTTAGAGACCTAACCAGAACAACCAGTTTCAGAGGTCAAAATCCATAGAGAGCCGACCCCATTCCTTGGGGCTCAAGGCGAGGCTGAACATCATGGCTGAAGAGTATGCCTGAGAGAAGCAGCTCACTTAATGATCAGAAAGCAGAGAGAGAGGTCTCCATTTGTCAGATACAAATATATACTCCAAAGCCACACAGCCAATTCCCACCTCCTCCAGGCATACCCTACCACTTCAGTTACCACTCAGTTAATCCCCATCAGGTGATTTAATTCACTGATTGGGTTGAGACTCTTACAACCCAATCATTTCCCCTCTGAACCTTTTTGTATTGTCTCACACGTGAGCTTCTGGGGGACACCTCACATCCAAACTGTAATAGGTGGCTCTGTTGACTACTTCATTCATATTCGGGCAAGGTCTTATGTTAAAAATGTACAGTAGAAGAATATTTACTCATTCTGAACCTGCAGTTTGTCCCAGTTCTGTGATCTGTGTCCTCTCTTTCTGTTTGTCCAGCATTTTTTTTTTTTTATTTCTACCTTAGGGCCATGGTATTTATTATGCGCCTGTCTTAGAATACATTTGCACAGATCTTCAAACAAGCTGGCTTCCATGCTCATCCACATATTGGGAGAAATGTGATAACCTCCGAGAAGGCCTGCCTTGACCATGCTGCTGCCACCCATTCCACCAATCATTACCTTACTCATGTATTTTGGGTAGTATTTGTTCCTTACTAAATTTCTTTCATTCATTTATTGCTTGTGAATTGCCCTCCTCCACATACCTGCACATGAACATAAGCATCTTGAGAGCAGGGAGCAAGGTGTTGAAGGACATACCCAAAACAGTGCCTCCAGTATGCAGACAGGCTCAATTGGTGTTTGTTGTATATCTGAGTGAAGCGATTACCTGTATCTGTCTATTGAAATCCTGTTTATCTTTTGAAATTCAATTCAAATACCATCTTTTTCAAGAATCTTCCCAGTCAGGCTTTTTTTTCTCCCTACTTGTACTTTTTACTTTAGTTATTTTCCCTTATGTATTAAACTTGCTATGCCTTCTTTCTTAGTGTAAAACATACTAGAATACAGGGAACATATTTAACTTATTTTAATATATATATATATATATATATATATATATATATATATATATATATATATATATATTTCAGACTTGAGAGCATCACCAATACAGAGAAGAGATTTGTTGAAGTCAGAAATAAATGAAAATTAACCATATAAAATTAACTATATTAACTGTTGAATATTTTTTCTTTTATATATTATGACTATTTAAAGCATATATAAGAGAATCAATAATAAGATATCAATATCCATGTAATAAACTCTTGTTTTAAAACATTAGTATTATAGGCATTAACACTAAATTCCTTGTGTCATTATCTCTCATCCATTTTTTTCTCCTTTATTCCCTGAAGCAATTGTGATCCTGAATTTGTCTTTATTCTCTGTGTGTACATATTTTACCATTACTGTCTGTGTGGGTGTGTGTTCATATGTGAGATTCTAAATATAATATATGATATTATATATGGGTCATTTATGCCTTTCTTCTTCCCCAGTGTTATGTTTCTCTGATTGTCTGTTGTTCCCTGTAGAGTTAGAATTTTGGGGAGAGATCACTTATTTTGATTGCTGCATAGTATTTCTTTGTGTAACTCTTTGACAGTTTCTTTATTCATTACCTTGTGGAAAGGCATTTACTTTTCTCTTTTCACTTTTACAAACAATAATACACTGAACATTTTTATACAGTTTTTCTGTAGTATCCTATAGCATCACTCCAGGGTTTATTATTGGGATGTAGAAATTCTGAGACAGAGACATTGAACACTTTGGCATTATGATGAAGGGCCCAGGTGCAGGAGCCAGGATGCTGGATTCGAATCCTGACCCTGCTACTTGCTGGCTTTCCCAGGAAGCAATGATCACTGGCTATTTTCAGTCTCTTTCCATGAGCATGTATGCCCTACCTCAACCCCTGGCATTAAGCATTCAGCTTGGCTTTGGTCCTCTTGGCTCTACTGAGCCCTGCTGGAGCCAGTTCCCAGCTGCCACTGCCTGCTTCTGGAGCCAGAACCCAGCAGGCCTGTGGCTTCACATGCAATCACCACTTTACATTTCTGTACCGTTTCTTGTCCATGGAGAGGTTTATTTTTGAGCCTGAAGATGTTTTTCAGCTTTCTTTTTAAATATTTTATTTATCATTTCTGTGTGTCTGGAGCAGAGGGAGTACATCAAAGTCTGAACTTTTTGTGTCACCATAACCAAAAGTTGATAATACCTCCGCGACCTTTTAAAATAAAGCCTGATTTTAGAATCGTCTAATCATAGATTTTTCGAGCTGGAAGGCATTTTAGAGATAAGGCCAATAACCTTATTTTATAGGTGAGGGAATTGTGGTCTTGAGAAATTAAGTGATTTACTGATATCGCCTATTTGGTTAATGGTGGCAGGGCCAGACTAAAGCCCTTGGGTCCCCTCTGTAGTCCTTTCACTACTACATCCACTATAGCAACTGTCTCTATACACTAAATTTACATGCAACACTTTATTTTTAACAGAAATGAAAAAAAATATAGTAGCATTTAAACAATTAGAAAAACGATTCCACATTTTAAAACTAATACAAAATGTTTTGTCTTGGCAAATATTGAGGGACAAGTAAGAGTACGGCATTTACTGCATTGAGCTGAATATATTTTCTTTAGAAGCCACAATGCCTTGGACTCCGTGGATTCCTGCTGCATTTGGTTTTCCTTGACTTTCTGAAACTTATTAGGATGAGCCCATCAATAATGGTGTCGATACTTCCAGCCACCTATAGTGCCGGGCCAGAAAATGAACTGTGATGAATGGATATGACCCGCATTTATAGTGATAGCCTATATTTCTGCTGTCAGGTAGAAATGGCAGGTGGTTTAATTTACCCCCCCCACCCCCCACCCCACAAAAAATCTTCAAGAGAGCAAGTATCCTTTCTCATTAGGATTTCCGGACATTTTTTTTAGAATATGAAATTTAGAATTTGATATCTTTGCTAAAGCCTAAAGCTTTTGGAACTGTTTTATTCTATTTCTAGATCTTTTAGCTGTGCCTAAGCATCCGTATGCTGCTATGGAGAACTGGGGACTAAGTATTTTTGTGGAACAAAGAATACTACTGGATCCCAGTGTTTCATCTATTTCTTATTTGCTGGATGTCACCATGGTCATTGTGCATGAGATATGTCACCAGGTATGAGAAAAAGGATCAGGTGTAAGTATAATGTGCCAACTATTGGGAATGTAGAATGATTTCAGATACCGAGGTCAGGAGCCAAATTATTATCCTACTAATTAAGTCTTATATGAAGCACCAGGTAGTATTTTCTGGAAGACACATCTATTTTTCTCAGATGACCACATAAACAAAAATAAGTACACTGGTCATATTGAATAAGCAAATGTCTTTCAGTTTAGTGAAATGTGAGCTACCAGAGCCACCTAGCAGCTGCCCCTTTGGAGCATCCATCTGGTGGCCGTTTCTCACCAACCTTGCTTTATTTTCTTGTGATTATTAGTGTGTATATATGGTAAGTGTAGGGATAGCAATGATTTATTGCATTGTTGCAAGATGCAGCTGAGTTTTGTGTACGTGTCAAAATTTTCTTTCGCTGAAATCAATTTGTTATTCCCCTTTTCCCATTACACAGACTCTTAGGAAGTCTTTCACTAACTCAGCCGTAGACTCTTTGTTCTCAAATGATTGATATTTTTTTTTTCTTGGCATGTTTAGAAATTCATATGTAAATTAGCCAACTTTGTAGCGAAGCGAAGATAAAATTAATTTCATTTTTATTTTATGCACTTTCTTACAATGAGGGGAAGGTATTAGAATTTTGCATGCTTATCTGAAACTTAATTTTAGTGAAGAAGAATTACTGAAAATAGATGTTCTTACAATAGGAAAGCAATATTTGTTCTGGTTACCAGTAACTATGGAGAGTTTTTAACTTCAAACACCAGAAGTCTCATTGTGGTACAGTATGACTTCAGTATATTATAAACCCAAAACCTTTTTAAAAGCTAGCACAACTGAGGAAAGAGTGATGTGTAAAATGCTTTCAGTGAAAAAAGGTGAACAGTTAAATGCCAATAAATGAATTGCCACTTAATGATAAATCGGCCCAGGCTGCATGACCATTTACCTAAATGTCAGCCTTTTGCAGTGAACCTGTAAGATGTTTGTATGTGTCATACTGGCCCGGTCAGGGTCAGACATGTGTTCCTTAGCTCAGAAATTACAGGGGATTCATTAAAGGTATAACTGGGACTCCTCTTCTGTGCTCAAGAGAATGGTTTTCACCTAAACTTACAACTCTTTGAGGCAAAAGGGTTTGCTTTTTGACTACCTGTGTAAATGGCAAATTAGATAGTTCTGTTGGCATGAAAGCACATTGGTAATGTTATTATTGTTCAGGGAACTAGATCTCATGTGTTTCAGATTGTGAGTTGCTTTCCTATCTTAGTAGTCGTGGTAGACTATTTACCACAAGGAAAGGGACCAGAAGCTAGGAAAAAGCACAATATTTTCAGTCATTGTCACAATAATTCCTTTGTTACCCTCCCTCTCCACTTATTTGTTGTACTGATTTTGAAGACAAGTTGGTAATTTAAAAGAGAAACATGCATTTTTGATAAAGAATAAAATAGTTTAAAATGTGTTTTACGGTCATCAACATATTCAAAGCTGTCTTTTATTTGTATTCACTTAGAGGTCCCTGGAGGAACTGATACTTGAGTATCAATATTAAGACCCTTAGTCACCAAGTTCTCTACTGTGGCTTTTAAAGCTGTTCATGATCTGGTACTTGTATGCCTTTCAGGACTTTTCCAGGCTTTCCTCCTCCTTATCTGCTATATTCCAGCCTCATGGGTCCTCCTGTTTCTGAAATAGCTTATTCCCAAGTAGGGTCTTCACACCAAGTGTGATTTGTATCTGCCTGGAATCCTCTTACCCAAGGCTTTCTCATTGCTGTCCCTTTCTTGTCATTAAAATCTAAGTTTAGGTGTCAACTACTAATATTCTTTTTGCTTTCACAATCTAAAGCACGCCCTTTTCCATCCTGAAACACTTTATTAACTTCTGAAATTGTGTTGTTCATTACTTTGTGTTTTTATTGTGTGTGTCACTTCATCTTCCTGCTTTCACGATAAATTTTTAGCTGCACGAGAAAGGAATTATTTAACTTTTTATCACTGAATCTCAAGTCTCTAGGATAGCTCCTAGCATATAATGTACTTTTTTTTTATTAATGAAGAAAAATATTCCTTCACAGGTCCTAATGAAGCATGGGTTTCAGAGCAATGCACCATAATTTAGTCAAAACACCGATGAAAGTTTTTAACGTTGTTTTTCATAAAGGGATCTTAGAGTTTTGGGCCCTGCCCTCCATTATCTTGGAAGCATGGAGTGTCAGGCGTGGAGGACCATCACGGCCTTTAGTTGGATCAGCTGGCCAGTGTCTTCTCTGAATTGCCTCTGCCACTAGAGGGCGATGCTTTCACACCTCCTGTGATGAGTCACTTACTACTTCTGAAGGCAGTATTTTGTATTTTGGGTCATTTCAGTCAGAGGGCTGTCTGCATTTTCAGCAGCCATTTACCAATACTAATTTCTATTCATTAGTTCTAGTTTTTCCCTGGTAGGGCCACAAGAAACAAAATTTTCTTCTACATGATAGGCCTTCACACATTTGAAGACAGCCTTCATCAGTGTTTTTCTCCTCACTCCTTTCTTCTTCAAGTTAAATATTCTTGTCATGTTCCCTGATCATTCTTTTCTATTGTTCTCTGAATGCATTTATAAAACATTAGCGTTGCCCAAGTTGTTTAATCAATCAATACAGTCTTGCCACAACACATTTTAAGATCACTAAATCAATTGGGGAATGACTTCCAGTTATAATAATCATAGTTTAATACATTTAGTTTTAGATAAAGTCATTTCCAGATAGATATGATTTTTTTTTTTTCTGATGCCCATTCATTTTGTTACTGCAGTGGTTTGGTGACCTCGTGACTCCTGTGTGGTGGGAAGACGTGTGGCTGAAGGAAGGTTTTGCTCACTACTTTGAATTTGTGGGTACAGACTACCTCTACCCTGGCTGGAACATGGTAAGCACACTTTTCTCTAATCATCTGGAACCTCCAGAGAAGGTTGATCTGGTGCCACATTAGGCTCATATTATCATTAGAGGTGACTGAAAAGCATCACCTGTCATCTAGTTATCCGATAAAGAAAAACTAACAAAAATTTAAAATGTTAGTATTAGAAAACAGCTATCTTTTATTCATTAGAAACTAAATAGAGCCTGACTTGTTATAGATTGATTTCAAAATGTTACAATTTATGTAAGTGGAAATATTTTAGATTGTAGTATTTTATAATGAAGACAAATTATCCTCAAAATAGAGAAGTCAACAGTAATTAATAAGTATTATTTTAAACATAACAGGATATTTCAATACATAGAAAGTTGCAATCTTATTATTTCTTCCAAGAGAAGAAACACATAAATTAACAAAAAAATTGATGAATTATTTTTGTATATATATGTATTTTAGGATTAAATAATAAGAGTTTGCTAAGTTTATGAAGAGTTGTATGCATTATACGTATGCTCTAGGAGAGTATATGGACATCTAAACCTGCAATTGGGTTTGTAGTGGCTGAAATTGTGATGTTTTAAGACATCCAGGAAGAAAAAGTGGAGGGAAGATGTAGTTTTAATGTCTTTTTATGTTAGTTTTTCACTTTTTGTAAGCTTTCATTAATCAATAAGTGATCTATGCTATTATATATTGTTTTAGAATTCAAATTTTAAATTTAAGTGAAAGCATTAAATTAAGTAAAAATTGCAGTGCATCCACATTTAATTTTCCGAAGCTCAAGTTTCACCTGTGATTTAGCATGGAATTTTAAATTACTTTTTTTGAGATAAAAGCTGCACATATTTAATGTATACAACTTGATTAATCTGGAGATAATTTTGTAGCCGTGAAACACCGTCACAAGCTATGCCATAAATATAATCATCACCTTTAAAATTTCTCCCACTCTCTTTATTACTATGATCTTCATTTTGTGATAAGAACATTTGACATAAGATCTACCTTCTTATCAAATTGTTAAGTGCACAGTACAATATTGCTGGCTATAGGTCCTATGCTGTTCAACAGATCTCTGGGATTTATTCATGTTGCACAACTGAAACTTTGTACACTTTGTTTAATACTTCTTGTTTCCTCTTCCTCCAGCTTTTGGTAATCATCATTATATTCTCCCCTTCCATCAATTGGAAGATTTTAGCCTCTTTACATAAGTGAGATTTTCTAAATGTCCATCCTTCCATATCTGGCTTATTGCATTTAGCACAAGGTCATGTCCTCAAGGTTCATCCACGTTGTCATTAATGGCAGGATTTTCTTATTTTTTAAAAATGTATATATCATGTTTCTTTATCTATTCCTACATCAGTGGTTAGATTGCTTCTGTGTGTTCATATATTTTTATATTGTTCTCTTTTGATGTTCTGAATCAGTAACAATGGATGATTATTTAATCGTCACCATTCCAAGTAGGATTTGAAGAACATATAAACCAAAATGAAACATGAAGTCATCTGTTAGTCATCATATAGCTCTCTGCCATAAATTCAGCTAACAGCTGCAGAATAAAAAATGTGAACTATTTTACAGAGGAAATGTTACAATGGTAATACTGTGTCAATATGTTTTAATTATCTATATGTAGTTTTGCCAACAACAGCATGATTGTATGAACATTTTTTGTACATATGGAGGGATGGATATAGGATGTGATTTTAAAAAATTTAACTTGAAGTGTTTTATTATGACATTGACATTAATGAAAAATGCCTTAAAAGAACTTTGAAAAATCCTGTAATACCATGCAATATTATTTCAAGTGTTCTTCAATTGATGTGAAACTTTAAAATTTAAATGTTTGATATTCTTAAAACATTTTCAACATTGTCTTTGATTTTTAGATGATTTTGAACCAACCTTAAAGTTTTCATTTAATTTCTATCATGTTGTGGATTATTAATGGTTTATAATTTCATAATATCTCAATATTAAAAGATCTTATTACAAATATGTTATAAATATAGACAAACATTTTAGCTCATTTTTGCTCCTTCCACTACTTGTGATAAAAAATATTTTCTATTAATCATTAGGAAAGATGTATCTAATATTAAAAAGTAATCTTCAGAATTATATATGGACTAAAAAACTGACAGCTTTTGATGGTTTTAAGCATGGCCATATATCCTCGGTTTTAATGTCTTTATCCTGGATTTTGTCTTTGAATAATTTTGTTGTTGTTTCCATCTTTTTTTTTTCAGTTTAATTGTAAATGTAGGATTTGTAGAGATTTTGCAAAAGATATTGGAAAATAAACAGAGATTAATAATGTAAGATTTTTGCCCTTTAATATAAACCTTGTTGGTGATTAAGATATGATTTTATTTACTCTAAATCTATATATAATAATTATTAATGATGGCATACTTAGAATGACACAGAAGGCTCACACTATCGAATAAAGAAATTGAGAATAGACTCCATCACATTTAGCTAGACAATTAATAGTAAAAAGAAATAAGTGTTGCTGTAGTGTCTATGTTTGGATGGCAAAGATCACAAATACTTTCTGATCTTTGAGAGCTTTTGATTTGCAGCAACTTCTTTTACTTAGTTTGTGGAATGTCTCATTATACTAAAACCTATAATAATAATAAAAAAAACTCGAGAAACCAATTGCCCACCATATATCATTAATGTCTTCTTTGTAAATAAACTCTAAGATTGTTAGCCACCTAAATAAGAGAGGATTGTTAAGTGACCATGAGGCTGTGCCAGCACTGTTTTTCATAATGGAATCAGCTAAAGAGTGAAAGACATTCAATAGAGCAAGGGTGATTGCTGTGTCAGCAGCAACTCACACATGTGTGATATGCATAGAAGCTTCTTGCAAGTTGCAGTGCATGGCCTGGGCTTCGCTGAAGCTGAACCTAAAATAGAAAAACCAGAAGTCAGGCTCATGTCAGGAGTAAAGAAATTCAAGGAGTTGACCTCCTTTGCCTCTAATCTCTAAAACAGTGCTTTTATCATTTTTAGACACCGGGCTCAAGCATTGAAATATAGTTTCAATTTGCTAGGGAGATTACTATGACAATCTACTTCCCATGGAACAGCCATAAAGAAGACCAGAATTACATGACATTTTTAGGAAGCTCCTGGTCTGATTTAGGCTGAGGTACTTGCCTTTCTTAACTGTTAGTAAAATCCTAGGTTGCTGTGCATTTGTGCCTGGGTGTTTTTTGGAGCCAGTTTTTGATATAGGAGTAATCTTTTTTTACATTAAGAATACTACATGGAATACAAATTTTTGTGGTAACATTTCCCCCCAGAAAACTAATGAAGTTTCCAATTTTGTAAATATGAGTCTTTTTAGGTAGTATGATGTAAGGTCAGGGGAATGGATTAGAGATAAGAAAGTTAGATTCTAAGAAAGCCATTTCATCTAATTCATCCTTACCATTTGAAAAATAGGACAATTATACTAACTTAGTAAGCTCCCATAATTTTGTGAGGTGTTTGAAACCTATGAGAAGGCATTATGGCCCTGGACACTGAGTACTCTTATTAGAAGGGGGCACTTATTTTGTGTATAGTTGCTCTAATGTTTCCAACCCCAGAGATCCATTTAACACCCTAGAATTATGTGATATATATATATATATATATATATATGTTACAAAATAAATTCTGTAAGCTTTGTGTCTAGATTCAGTCTCACCAAGTCAATTTTTATGTATTCTGCAGGAACATAAGCCCTAGATAATATTTCATTCATCAAACATTAGTATCATTAGAAACAGCTTTCTTGGTTTCAGGCTAAGGGCACCATTCATGGGGGGGCTACTTGTCTTCTTGCTTGATGTTATTTTGTTAAAGTTGACTGTTAGCGACAACATTATTCGATGGATCAAGTTCCAGTATGCTACTAATGGGAATCCTATTAAATCTTATTATGTTTCCTTAAAAGTGATAAAAGGGTGACTGACAACATGCTATTCTTTTTTTTAATGATCTAAAGTTCTTTTTCTATTTGTCCTAATTAGTTATACATGATAGCAGAATGTATTTCGACATATTATTCATATATGGAGTGCAACTTCTCATTCTTCTGGTTGTACATGATGTAGAATTACATTGGTCATGTAGTCAAATATGCACATAGGGTAGTAATGTCCAGTTTATTCTGCTATTTTTCCTATTCCTATTCCCAGTCCCTTACCTCCCTTCATTTCCCTCAGTCTAATCCAAAGTGCTTCTATTCTTCCCTAAGCCCCCATTTATTGTAAATTAGCATCCACATATCAAACATTCAGCATTTGTTTTTTTGTTGGGGGGGGAGGGGTATTCACTTATTTGACTTAGCATGATATTCTCCAGTTCCATCAATTTACCTGCAAATGCCATAATTTCATTATTCTTTATGACTGAGTAATATTCCATCATGTGTATATACCACATTTTTTTATCCATTCATCTGATGAAAGGTAGCTAGATTGGTTTCATAGTTTAGCTATTGTGAATTGAGCTGCTATAAGTATTGATGTGGCTGCATCACTGTAATATGCTGATTTTAAGTCCTTTGGGTGTAAACCAAGGAGTGTGTTAACCAGGTCAAATGGTTGATCCATTCCAAGTTTTCTGAGTAATCTCCATACTGCTTTGCATAGTGGTTAGACCAATTTGCAGTCCCACCGACAATGTATGAGTGTACCTTTCCCCCACATCCTTACCAACATTTATGTTACTTGTATTCTTAATAATTGCCATCCTGGCTGGAGTGAAATGAAATCTCAGTGTAGATTCAATTTGCATTTCTCAAATTGCTAGAGATGTTGAACATTTTTTCCATGTATTTGTTGACCAATTGTATTTCTTCTATGAAATGTATGTTCAGTTCCTTAGCCCATTTGTTGATTGGGTTATTTGGTTTTTTAAAATTAATTAATTAATTATTTTTTAAAATTTCGATTTGCTGTATATGATAACAGAATGCATTACAATTCATA